CCCTCACTGGACCAGGAGCACTTTTGAGGACAGGGACCTGCCTCCGTCTTCGCTGGGTCCTAGACATCATGCTTGGCACACAGTAAGTGCTTTTAGAAAACACACTATGAGCAAACAGAGGTTCATGGCTTTTGTCATGCATTGACCATGGGGGTTACTTTGTAGCTTCTGGCAAAAGCTGTTTCAGCCAGTGCCCCCCTTTCCCAGCAAGGAGGCCTCCGGCTGGATTTGGTTTTCTCTGCTCAAGCAGGACATGAGGAGCCAGAGTGTCTCAAGGGGAGGAGCGGAATGCATGGTGGTCACATCGCCCAGGTGCACGGCTACCGCCAAGTTCATGCATTAACAGAGCTTCATCACAGGGCCCTGCGGTTGGAGTGGATGGAGAGTCCCTGGGGCAGGAGTGGCTTGGCTCACCCACCGCGTGACACCCCGACTCGAGCCACGGGGGAAGCACCTTCTCTTTGGACCTCTGTGCCAGGCCTTCTCAGAGTGGGGCCCCTGGACCAGGGGGCAGCAGCACCCGGAAACTTGTTAGAAATGCAAATTCCCAGGTCCCCTCCCAGACCCCCTGCTTCAGAAGCTCTGGGGCTGGGGCCCAGGAATCCGCATTCTGACAAGCCCTCCGAGGGGCTTCTGATGTGGGCTCAAGCGTGAGACCCACTGGTCCAGGCTGCCCCTCACCTCGGTCACAAGGCAGGTTATACCTGGGCTCCAAGAACGTGGCTCCCGAGGCCCACCTCGGAACGGAGGGGCACCCCCTCATCCCTTCCATGCCTGGGCCCCCCAAAGCCTGGCACCATGATGGGTCTGAGTCTCCTCCCTTCCCCCATCTGCCCATCTGGAAGGACATCCCTGCTCCAGCTTGGACTCAGCCTGGGCTCGGGAGACCCAGTGTCCCTTGGGCTCTTGCACAGCAGAGGCGGAAGAGAAGTTGCAGGCAGAGGCCTAATCCCTCTGAACTTGTCCCTGGGGCTGGACATTCCAAGTTCCTGGGGACACAATAGGTTCTAACATTCCAGGGGAGGTGGCCGGCTTGTGGAGGGGCTGGAACAATGGGCCTGTGTTCCTCCCCACGCCTTCCCGAGGGGCCGTTCTCGAACCAGGGCTCTGCAAGGGAGGCTGAGCCACGGAAAGCACCACTGTCACCCCACTGGTCCCGCCTGCTTCTGCCCAAGGCCCAGCCGAGGGTGGGGAGCCCCTCAGCACCCCGCCTCCCTCCCTGGGGCTGAATGATGCTCCTTTTCCCTGATGATTTCCAGCACCTTCTAGGCTCTTGTCCACTACAGCCTCTGGAGGAAGCAGTTAAATGACAACACCTCTCTTTCCCTCTTTCCCTAAGTCCAGGTCTCTGTCCTCCCGGGGCAGGGGACAGCAGGCAGTGGACAGAGCACTCCAGCCACCTGAAGCCACAGCCAGAAGCATCTCCCCTCTCTGTGGCTGATTCCTCTTCATTAGTGCAATCACATCAACAGTGACAGCGGCGTATTTATTACTGTCCCGACGACAACCATTTTTCACCCAGTGACGCGCAGACTGATAATGAGCTCGGAGCAGAGCTAATGAGAAGCGCCCCTCGGCCCTCCTTGGCAGCTCCGGGCCCTCGATGGCCTGGCCACCAACCCAATCCCTGCCTGCAGTCGCTCCGGGGCAGGGAGAGGGACTCCGGGGGGGAGGTCGAGGGTCACCGGCTGAGCCAGCCGGCATTGTCCAAAGCCAACGTGCACACCCCCCGTGGGGAGGAGACGGCAGGGTTGACAGAGCCATCCCATAAACGCTGGGCACAGACTCAGGGCAGAAGCACTGCGTCCGCTCTGGGCTCTGAGTCCTCGAGCCAGGGCAGAAAGAGACGAACAGCAGTGTGGGGGCAGGCTGGCTGCCCGACGGGAGCCGGGGACGCTGGGAGGACGCTGGCCTGGCTCCTGAAGCACGAGAGGCCCCAGAGGAGTGGGGAGGAGGTGCCTGGCCCCAATCAAGAACGTTTCCTTAGTGCTGTCTGTGCAGGGCAAGGTGCTTGTTGCAGCTGCTACAGGGACAGAAATTACAGTAAGGGCCCTGCTTTGCCAGACATGGTCTCCCAGGAAGCTCAGCTCTTCTGGAAGGCACCTGCACATCCAAACGGAGAAGACCCCTGCGCAGCGGACACAGAGTTCTGCAGAGCCCAGAACCTCTAAGGCCAGTCTTCTCCCCAGGTGCTCTGCCTGGCTCTTCTCCAAACGTGACCATGCTGGCTGGCCCCGTCCAAATTAACGGGAGGAGGAAAGAGGGTCCTGGAACAGCCAGGAGACAGGTCCTCTAACGGTCTGGAGCAGACCGGCTGAAGCTGAGGGAGAACCCCAAACCACCCCAAAGCCCCAGCCACCCGCGCAGGGTCCCCGAGGGAGGGACAGCAGCCTTGGCCTCACATCCACCACCCTCGAAGGCATCGCCATAGACCAGTCCTGGCAGACGGTGACGGTGGCCCCAATTACGTCTGGGACACAATTGCTTTAGAAGACGTTATAGAAAATTTTAAACATGAATGGTTTAAATACGTATGTGTGTGTGTGTGTGTGTGTGTGTGTGTGTAAAGCACTTAGACTCTTACAGACAATGTGGCCCAAGAGACCATCTCATCCAAGCTTCTCAAAGCCAGCTTTTGCCATATATCCCTGGGCACCCAGGAAGCCACGGGGAAGCCACACCTTGCAGCACCGATCGGCTCTCAAATATCCCCCGTGTGTTAAAGTAGAACTCATGCGGCCCACGGGGCAGAGTGCAAATTCTCATAAATCTGCAAAATGGCAAAGGCAAAGGTGAGGGCACCAGCAGCTTCGGGCTGCACGGCCAGGTGCCCCCCGCGCACGAGTCCACCTTCCGCCACTCTGAGAGTCTGTCGGGGGACAGTTTGGATACGCTGTATTAATGCCGCCACGTTTGCCCAGCGAGGACACTTCTGGCCACACAGGCTAAAAGGCCAGGTCCAAAAGGACCCAACGAGAGCCCTCGATGGCGGCCTTTGAGGACACCGTCATAAACCGATTAGGACAGCGACATAAACCGTTACCTTCTCTCTGACTTCACTACTAACCCCTACAGCACCCTTCTTAAGAGGATTAAATTCATTAATTAGGAAAAATAATTTGTGTCTAAGACCTCAATCCTTGCTGATGAAGGGTTATTATCTAGACTGAAGGAGTTTATAATTAATCAGTTACACACACACATTAAAGGATAATTCAGAATCAACAAGGCCAAAGTGCCCAAGGAGACGCCTAGCCCCTGGCATCCTGCGAGCCCCACGCTCAGGAGGGCGTGTTCCAGCTGGTGGTCAGGGGTTGCACGGGGCACTGCGGGGGAGCAAGTGGGATCTGGGTCAGTGGGGAGGAGGACAGGGGCTCCTGAGGGCAGCAGAGGAGGAGGGGGCACTATCGGGGGTGGGGAGGGAGGTCTGAGCCCAGGGGAGGGCTGCTGCGGGGGGCAGGCAGAGGTGAGGCTGCTGCGGTGCAAGAGCCAGATATGGAGACTTTGGTGTTGCGACCACACGCCACGGGGAAGCCACTGGAGGTCTGTGAGCAAGGGGGTAAAGTGACAGGTCTTGGCATCCAGATCCCATTGCTAAGACCTGTGGGCATTAAGAGAGGGCTTTGAGTTCCATCAGAGAGAGGGGAGGCCATCCCAGGCTGCACCCCAAGTGCCCTGGGCCCGCCAGCCCAAAGGGGCATGGTGAGCAGTCCCTAAAGGTGGGTGTCCGGACCAGATCGACAGCGATGGCCTGGGATGACCCACCTTTATCGTCTCTTACAAGTCAAGGGACCTGGGCCAGGTACTTGATGTTCCTGAACTTCAGTGCTAACAATATTGACAGCAGTGATGCTTTCTGGCAACCTCATCCAGGGGTTGGGGCGAAGAGCAAATGGGACGTCTGTCTGTGAAAACTGCCCGTACAAATTTGAGGTTTTATGAAAGGATCCAATAAAAACATTCACACTGAGGCCCGAGCAGCTGATAATGGCTTAATAGGTGGGTTCTCTGTGGCGTATTTGCATTTTAAGCTACAGACAGGGGATGTCTTAACCAAATAAATAAATCCCTAATAGCAGACATTTGGGTGCCACTGGCAGGTCTGCGGAGGACAAAGGGAGCAGAAGCCCTTGGGGCCCGGGCACCTGTCAAACGGCAGGCCCAAGGCCGACCTTCCTTTCCTGACAACAGGACAGTAATGACAATGACATGACAATCACTTTTTCAGTGATTACTATACGCTAAGCACTGCCCCGAGAGCTTAGCACATCTCATCACACCCTGTCACAACCCAGTGAAGAAAAAACTACTTTTATCCCCATTTTACAGATGAAGAAACCAAGGCACAGAGGCGAGGTTTCTTCTCGGATGAGGCTGTGCAATATCCAAGGTCATCCGAGCGGTAAGTGACAGGAAGGATTTGAACCCAGGGAGTCGTCCCATGGCTCAGGCTCCTTTGTGGTCTGAGCCGTCCCACCTGGGCCCTGTCCCTCCTGGGCCCTCTGCTGTCACATTCTGCACCGGCTCTCATAGCTCACAGCAGAGCATGGAGAATCTGTACCAGATTCACAATTAACTCGCATTACGTGGTGACCCCCAAGAGTTTGGGCGCCCAGCCATAATTCAAACCATTACCCACATTCCGGGCAACGCAACTGCCTCCCGGACCTGCACCTCCAGAGAGGTGCCCGGGTGGGGGAGAGGGGGGGAAGTTTCCAGAGTCCTGGCTCTTGCAGGCCCTAGAGAGTCACTGGTGTCCACCCTAGAAGCTGAATTCCCTGAATGGGCCTCATTATGGACAAATAATATTTCCTTCCGTTCGGATTAGCACATCATCAAAATTTCATCACCCCTCTGGGTCACTAATAGCTTCCTATGTGGCATCAAACTTTAATTGCCTTTTTTTCCCTCTTCCTCCCCCTCCCCCACACCCTGTTCAATTTAGGAGGCTCTCGCGTGTCTTGGTCCCTGGCAAGCCAATCACGAATGCCCCAGGTGACCTTAAGGAGGCTCCTCAAACAGCTCTGGGGAATCCCAACCCCGAGAGGCCAGGAGGAGAGGAGAGGGGGAGAGGACCTCTTGCATTCTGCCAAGCTAAAGCGCAGCGAGGACACGGCCAGGGTCGGGGCACGAGGAGGAGCGGCAAGCCCTATTTCCAAACTCTACCACCTTCCCTGGACCAGTCTTCTAACAGCACAACTGTCTGGGCGTCTCCCTGGTGAATGGTCCTCTCTCCTTGTCAACATGGTGACAGTCGCTATGGAGACAAACAGCAGCCTGGGGCAGTGGAAAGAGGACAGGTGTTGGGACCGTAGAGCCCTGGGCTCAAGTCTTGACTCCTTGACTTCCCCGCTGGAGGGCCTTGGGCAGTTAATCTCTCTGAGCCTCAGTTTACCCACGTGCTGGAGTGACAGGGAGGACTGCGGCAGACAGCGGTCGTCATTCACCTAGCCATGTCCAACAAGCAGAACTGCAAGCCCGAAATGAGTTCTAGAATGGGGAGGAAAGACCCAAAGACTCTAAACTGGAGAGGAAGGAAAAGAAAGCGGGGGAAGAAGAAGATGTCGGTGAAATACAAAGTAAAGATGTCAGGGAAGAAAATCTGCCACTAGAATGCAATCTGAGATCCTGTCTTACGATTATTTGGAGGGGCCAACACAGAAGTACAAATACATTGTTAACAAACAGTTAAATTCATTTATTCAGTGCTTTTGTGATATGTCAGGGTCCATTCTGAGTGTTCTATTTGAATTATCTCATTTAAGCCTGCTAAGGCTTTTATCTTTGTCGCACAGACAAGGAAATGGAGGCTGTATTTCGAACAGAACATTCATGCATGGATGGGCATAACCCCCAGAACTTTCTACCCCTCCTCCCAATTCCCTCTGCATCATACAGCTGTGGGGGCTTCAGTAAAGACCCGAGGGCCGCCCAGCCGGAGGTCAGCCCTGCCACAGGTAGCTTCACAGGTCCATCGGGCCAGAATGGGGAAGAGCTGAGAAAAAAAGAGCAAGAAAGTCCGAGCCGGGCCTCCTGTCTCAGTGCCAATACTGCCCCGTCCTACGTATGCAAAGGGACTGCTGGAGGGCAGGGCTCGTGCCCTGGGGTGTATGTGACGTGCAGAAGGGACCAGAGGCGTTTCCCAAGCCAATTAGCCTGGGAGAAGGGGTGAGTGGTGGAGAAGAAACTGGAGAAGTAGGCCAGACGACCCCTGAGGCTCTGTGCCCCAGGTAAGTGTTCATTCATTCATTCACTCATTCATATTTCCTGCCAGGCACTGCCCCGGCGACTGGGCGCTACAGCAGAGAATAAAATAAAGCCCCGCCCTCCTGAGAGAGACCAGCCGCCGCAAGTCCAGTCGTGCCAGCTGGAGCCGAGTGCGGTGGAGACGGTGAGGCAGAGGGAGGGGTGGGTGCTGGGGGACGCCACGCAATAGGGGGCTCCGGGGGGAGAAGGGACATGAGAAGGGCGGAGAAGGGACATGAGAAGAAAGTTCCAAAGGAAATAGGGAGCGGGCCCCGGCAGACATCCGGGAGGTGTGGGCGCCGCCGCAGGAAGGGCAGAGCTTCGAGTGCCAGGTGGGGGCCTGGTGAGTTCCGGGAAGAAAAGGCAGTGTGGGGACAGGAGCCGGTGGCAGGGGCCAGGCAACAAGATGAGGCGGGAGAGGAGGAAGGGCAGTGGTTAGGACCTCCCTGTGGCCTTGTGACTGACACACTGTAGACACTCAACATTCATGAACAGCAACTGTAAAGTGATTTGGGCAATTTCATTTCATCTTCGAAAACAACTCTATAAGGTAGATAAACAATTATGTTAAAATCTATTGTCTCACTTTACAGATGAGAAAACTGAGGCTCAGCTCAGCGTCACCCAGTGGTAGACGGGGGATTCAAAGGGTCAAAGCCGACGTCGCGGCCCCTGTCACATCTGAAGGCCTCCCCAGGTCCCCCCCGCCCCCCTGGGCCCAGCGAGGGGCCTTCGGGTCCAGACACCCGGCCCGGGGAGTCTGATGAGACAAGCTCTGCAGCCTCCCTGCCTCCCTTCCCCCAGGACACCGGGCAGCCCCTGGCAGTCCCTGGCTCAGCACTGCTCACTGGCCCTGCCCTGTGCGGGTGCCTGGACAGCAGGGGTGGGACGGTGGGGGCGGAGGGGGAGGCAGTCGGGATGTCTCAGCAACTGGCTTGTTTTCCTTTCCATTACAGGCAGTGGGCCGCTGCCGGCAGTTGCTGTTCACCCATTTGTTGCTATTGGCATCCCAAGGCCCCAAATTACGATGACTAATACCTACCGCTTTAGGCAGCTCCAGGGCTGTCTGCAGCACTGTGCTCCAGGGGGAACGAGGGTGGAAATCCCGCAGGCAGCACAGTAACACCCAGCATCAATTCCGACTCAGTCTCCTGACTCCCCAAGGGGCCAGGAGTCAGGAGGGATGGGGAGGGAGGGTCCTAGCCAATCAGAGGGCCCCTTCAACCCAGCCAGAGCCTAGGAAAACCAGCCACGCGGAGGCCAATTCTTACTCAACATAAAGCGTAACTGTCTTAACAACCAGCTTGGAGCATGAGGTAGTGAGTCCTCCATCACCAAGGGTATGCAAGCGAGAGACCAGATGGCCACTTGTCCTTGGTTTGTGGGCAGAGGACAGCCCTAGATGATTTTTCACGCGTCCTTCATGTCACATGCAATGCTTCCCGCCAGTCCGCAGGACAGAGGACAGGCCCGTTCTCCCTTCCCCTTTAGTTACAGCCCAACGACATCCCGCGGTACAAAGTCAAATGCAGACCAATATGCAGTTTAACACGTCATTTTAAAGCCGGCCGTGCAGGCTCTGTTTAAACAGAGGACCGCTGTAAAGGACTTGGCCTCCTTCCCAGCCTCCCTTCCCTGGTAGAGCAAGGTTCCTGGCCCCTACCCCGGCCTTCCAGTAGAGGACATGAGGGAGAGGCGGTCGATAAATATTTGCTGAACAAATGCATGAAAGGGAAGATTTCTGAGGCAGGTGTCGGGCTGCCAGCGGGCCCCGGCCTCTGGGCGGGCGTCCTGACTGTTCCTCCCAGGCAGGGGCACCACACTGTACCCCTCTTCTCATCGTGGCCAGAATGTTCCAGACTCCCCAGCAGAAGCCAAGGGGCGCAAAGAGTGAGGGGAAAGAGGGCATGCGAGAGCAGGGACACCCCCATCCCGCTCTGGTGGCGGCTGAGCCCCAGGCAAGCACGACACTCGGCCTCCTGGTAATTAGCAAAAGGCCCTGATCAATAAGTTATTTTTTGCTGTCAGTAATTAATAATTACAGCTTAGCCACACCATGTAATTAAACTTTCATCCGGCTCCCTCGAGTACTGTTTGGCTTTTATTGTGATTAGCTCCCAGCACTAAACTTTCTCCCTTTGGAGCCCTTCAGGAGCCTCCGGAACCGGGGTTTCCAGTCCTCTTGCAGGGCTTTCCCGCTGCCTGGTTCACTCAGCTCACACTCCCTTTTGTTCTTTGCCCAGCGGCGAGGGTCTCCGGAAAGAACCTCCCGGACCAGCTGGCCCGGCTGCCCCCCTCCCAGCCTCTCTCGCTCCCCCACGATGACCTCCAGCAGCAACCGGGCTTCCAGGCACATGAAAAATCTCTCGAGGTGCTTGTGAAAGGCCGGCTTCCAGGCCCACGCAGACCTTTCCAATCAGTGTCTGGGAGAGCAGGCCAGGGATCCCCACTGTCACAAGCTCCCTGGGAGCCTAGAGCTCGGGAGCCACTCTTGGAGACCCAGTAACGTGGCCATGGAAGGACGCTTTAAAGAAAGTGCCTGGGTGAGGAAACGGGGTTCAAGGTCTTACTGGTGGGTGGCAGGGTATCATCGCTCTTCATGGTCCCCTGGCTTACAGTGTTAAAATAATCATAACAATAATGGCAACTACTATTGCCGTGTTATCAAGCCCCTTCTATGTGCCAGGCATTTGCTGGGGCCTTCCCCCCCCCCCCCCGGGAACAGGACTGCAGGCCCCGGCCCTTCCCACCTCCTCCTCCTCCTCCTCCTCCTCCCCCCCCCCCCCCCCCCCCCCGGCACACCTCGAGTGCTCCGATCGACCCTGCCAGGCAGGAGCTATTATTCCCATTGTACAGATGAGGACACCAAAGTTCTGAGTGGCTCAGAGCCCTGCTGAAGGTCTCTCTGCAGCCAAGCATCAAAGCCAGATTCCCCAGAGCCCATTCCTTCAGCTGCCTAAGGCAATACTCTTTCTACATCACTGCACCTCGTTTGGGAAATGTGTTTGAATCATGTGACATGGGGGTTGTGGGGAAAATGGTCAAATGTTGGCTTTTGGTATAACCAGGTGATGTTGTCCAGCACCTGAAACAAAACTGCCACCAGGTGAAAGCCAGTGGCAGTGGCCAATGTGAGGTTTGTCTCAAGGGAGGAGCGACTGCTTGGTCCCTTATTCTGTGTCATGCCTGCAGAATGGAGATCATGGGCTCAGAAGTGACAGGCACCTAGTGGCTTCAGCTACTCCACAAGATTAATGGCACGGCCTCAGACTGGGAGAAACTCGCTCTCTAACCCCAAGGCAGGTAAGAAAGGAGTCCATGCCCTAACCTCACCCTGCCAACACCCAAACCCATCATTGCCCCCAAGCCTAGGACCCCGTTCCCACAATCCTCTGCAAGGTTTGCTGCCTTGGGGACAAATGGCGGGAGAGGACCCAGGGCTGGAACACACTCTGGGAGCCAGAGAACACAAATGGAGCAGCAGGGGACCTGGGCAGCCTGACTTGAAAGGGCAGCAAACCAGAGAAGCAGGAGAGGAAGTGAATCAATCAGAGAGACCTTCGCTGCTTCTGACAAGGGAGCCCCTCCCGCAGGAAGCGCAGGGACAGGCGGGGGACTGGCCTTAACTCCAGCAGGACAAGTGGGATCTTGGCCTCAGGTGTTTGGTGCAGGTGTGGAGGTGGGGCAGGAAGGGATGTGAAGACCCCCAAAGGAAGGAAGTGCCATCAAGGGCCCTGGGGACTCCATAAGGGCCTGGTCCTTGATGGGACAGGAATTGGTGAGCCACTCGCTCGGGGAAAGCGTGCTGTTGTTGGTGTCTGTGCAGTGATGATGTTAGAAAGGTCTAGACAGATGCTGACACCCCTCAGAGCCCTCCATGCCTCCTGGCTCTCCATGAGGGACCCCAGGGTTAGCTCAGAGCAAGTCTGCAAGGTGCCCCAGAGCAGAAGACAAGGCATTCCTACACTGCCATGGTGACCCTCCTGGGCCCATCCGAAAGCCACCCAAGGCAAGGGGAACCGAGGCATGGCTGGTCCTGGCTACTGGGAGAGGGGCTGAGAATCCACCTGGTTCCAGTCCTGCCTCTGCCCCTAGATCATGGATTAAGTCACTTAATGCCATTGGGCCTCAGTTTCCCTATCTGTTCAATGGAATAAGATGACCTATGAGGTCCCTGCTTGCTCAAAGATTTTACGATGATCATAAAAATAATAACTTTTATTGCCTTACATTTATAGGGCTCGTTACAAAATTTCTAAGTGCTTTTACGTAAATTATCTCGTAAAATCATCCTGTCAACCCTGTGAGAGCTGATTATTTCCATCTCTTTGATCTTGGCTCTCTAGGTTGCTCGAAGCTGGCGTGCAGGGTCCCTTCTTCCCCAGGGCTTGGAGACCCCAGAGGCGGAGTTGGGAGTGGGCCGCAGACCCCCGGCAGTCCGGCGCCCCGAGGTGGTTCGGGGCCCCCTCCTGAGCCTGGAAGAGGGAAGGCTGAGCCTGCCCGAGCTCCAGTCTCGGCTTCGTCTCCCTCCGCCCCCAGCAGGCGCCGCTCGGACACCGCTGGCACGGCTGTCTGGATGGGCGAACCCCAAAGGCAAGGGACCGCCGGCGCAACCGCCCTTCCCCGCGCAGACCTGGGGGCTGGGGACGTCTGTGCATCCGCCCTCGGGAGGGCAGCGCAGATCACGCCTCCCATCCTTCCCAACACTCCCGCCCCCAGAGCCCCGCGAGGCTGCTCCCGGCAGCCACAGGTCAAAGCAGCGGCCGCAGAGACAATTGCGCGACCAGCCGAGGCTGGAGGCAGGGGCGGGACGCTGGGGGCGGAGGGGTGGAGGCGGGAGGGGAGGCCTCAGACCCTCCCCGTGCACCCCGTCCGGGGGGTCCGCGGCTGCACCCGGCTCCAGGCCGGCGCAGCGGAGCTCCCCCAGCCCCGGCGGCGGCCAGGCAGCCAGGCGCGGGCTCCCGTATGTGGCCAAGCCAGGCAACTGCCCCCTGGGGCGACCAAACCAGCACCCAGCGCCCGCCACCCCACTTCTTTCGCCCTGGGGCGGCCAGCGCGGGGTGCCCGGCAGGGCCTTGCCCTTCCCCGCGGACACCGAGCGGGGAACCAGGAGCCCGGCATGGGGAGCTCAGGGGAGCCGAATGTCGCACCCCTCCCACAGCCGCCCCAGGACAGCCACAGCGGGCGGGGGGAGGGCATCGCCCCTCCCACCCACCTTAAGCTCTTCTCAGCCTCCCGAGCGACCCCCACCTTCTTCCACTCGGAAGCTACAAGTCTCAGAGAGACTGCCCCACCCCGAAAGAGAGGCCCCCAAACTCGGAGGGGGGTGTCCTGAAACTCCCTGGAGAGGGCTCAGGCAAAGCTAAGCCCGGTGCCCAGGAGGCCACCGTGAGGCAAGCGAGCTCCCGCCACCCCTCCCCCGCCCGCCCTCCGGGCCCCCTCCCCAGCCCCACGTGGGGGTGGACCTCCTTACCTTGGGCGCCCGCCGCGTGGATCCGCAGCAGAGCCAGCAGAGTCCAGATCAGCGGCCCCCACATGGCGACCAGCCTGGAGGGGGGTCCTCGGGGTCCCCCTCCCCGGCGCAGTGTATTATAATCCTGGTGGGGTCCGGTACCCCGCGGCTTCGTCCTGGGAGACTGCCTACGCGGCTCCCGGGCCGGGCGTAATATGCCCGGGAGGGGCAGTGCTGGCGACCCCAACCTTTCCTCCTCCTCTTCTGTCCAAGTCCGATCCGGCCGCGCGCCCGGAAGGCGAGGGACGAGCAAAGAGAAAGAGGCAGCAGAGCCGCCCTCTCGGACTCGGGCACCTCTCTCTCCGAGCACCCCAACTCCGACTCCGCCCAGGCAGGGCGGCCTCCGCGATCCGGCCGGGTCGCCGGCCGAGCTCCGAAATAAACGGACAACTTCAGGAAACTTACTCCCGTGGCCACGTTGCCCGCCCCCCGCCCTCTCCCCGCCCCCTGGTTGGGTTCTCCCGGCCGACGCAGTCACCGCCGTTCCAGGCTTCGGGCCCCGGGGATCCGGCCCAAGCTGAGCGCGGCGGCAGACGCGGGTGCGGGGGTTCTTTCAGGGGCGCCGGTTTCGGGGGGCGCGGTTAGCATAGCGGTCCGAATCTCCCCAGAGCCGAAGTTTTCTTCTCTCTAACTTTGCAGGCGGCATCTGGCGGGGCCGAGCCGCCCCTCCGGGCTCCACCGCCCTCGAGCCGTATCCGGAGACTCGGGGTCCCCCACCGGGGTCGCCGGGGCCGGACGCGCCCTCGGCTCCGTGCCCAGCCGGCTAGCAAACTTTGCGGGGCCCGCGGCCCGGAGCTCAGCCCCGCGCGCCCATGTCCGCGCCGGCCGCGGGGCGGCGGGGGCGGATGCCGGGCTCGAAGACCCGGACTGTCGCCGGCGCCCGCGCGCAGAGCCTCCTGCCGGCCCGAGGATGGAGACCGGTGGCTCTGCCCGCCGCCGCGCCCTGGCCGGAGCTCCGGGCGAGACGCGCGGAGAGCCCGGCGGGCAGCCCGGCTCCGGGCGCGGCGCCCCTCGGACGCCCGCGCTCGCCGAGCGCCCGGCCGGAGGAGCAGCGGCCGCCCCAGCGCCTCGGCCGCGCCGCCGCCGCCCGCCTCAGCCGCCCTCTGCTTCCCGGGCTCGGCGTCCTGAGAGCCGCTCCTGCCTGCGCCGAGCCGGAGCTGCGGGGGCAGCGTGAGCCGGGGACGAGCGCGGCGGAGGCGGAGGCGGAGACGCGGAGAGGGGGGCCGAGCGCTACCCCGTGGCCGCGACTGGAGAGCAGCCCGCGCGCCGGGAGGGGGGCGGCGGCGGCGGCGGCGGCGGCGGCGGCCTCGAGCCAGGCCCGGGAGCGAGCCCCGCAGGAACACAACCCGTCTGCCGGCCGCGGGCGCCGGCTGCTCCGGACCCGCCGGGGGGCAGCAGTGCCAACCTAGCGCCTAGCAGGGAGGGATGCGCACGGGCCCTGCGCTCTGTCGCCTGGCCCTCCCTTGCAGCCCCTGCGACACCCTCTCTCAAAGGCCTCATCTGACTCCCAATATCACCCCTAACCCCCTTCTCCAACTGGAGTGTGACTGGGGCGGGGGTGGGTGGTTTGGGAAGAGGGGCTGGCTCAACGGGCTGGTCCCTGTTTCCCCTTTCCGGGTCAGACTCTCAGATGTCTGGAAATGCTCAGGGCGGAGAGCGAGACAAAAGAAAGGCCTGGGACCCACAGAGGGCTGAGAAACTGAAGTTGGGGCCAGGGCACACGCATTCTTCCTGCCCTCTTTTTTTCTTATGGACTCTGCCTGTAAAGGGTCGAAGAAGGGGAAATTGGGGTGGGGGGAGACACACTAAGAGGAGAGCCGAGAAGTGTCCTCTGCTGGGGCCCCGCGGAGTGGGCACAAATAGCACCTCCCGGGGCCAGGAGCTCGGTTTGCAGGACCCAGGGACACTTCCCTGGGCACTAGGTGCCTTTGCCTTCCCGGGCGGACTCCTTCCTCCACTAAAAATATATTTAAAATATTTTCTGACTCTGCTGGCATAATGACAAGTATATTAATGTTACATATTAAAACATTCTCTTCGACCTGAAAGTTCATTTGGTTTTTCTTATTTTGATAGAATTAAGACATTTCCGTGTGCCCCTAAAGGAGTGTGTGGTTCCCGATTGGCCTGTGGAGCTCACTGAGGAAGTCCGCCCTGCCAGCTGGGTAGTTCTGCCCGGACACAAAGAACTAGCGAAGACACTCGCCGGGTGCCACGGCGCCTCCCCCAGCTGTCTTCCTGGGGCTCGGGCCTGGTCTAGCCCCTCATACTGCTGCTGTCCCTTTGTGGTCCTTGAAGCCGAGGACTTTTGCTGCTGACTTTGCTGACTGCCGGGGGCAGCTCCTTCCCAAAGGACACCCCTCTGATGGCCGCAGACAGGATATAGCCTCCGCAAGTGTCTCGTCACACTCACGTTCCCATAGCACCTGCTTTGGAAGAAGAACTGCGAGCATTTGTTGAAAAGGGCTGAGAAGCTAGCCTGCCTTCCCTGCCGCCCTTCAATCGCCATTTCAAACTGTGTTCTGCGACTTCTCCCCTGGCAACCTGTGCTCCCAGGCCGAAGCCACTCCGGCTGGCTCGTTTGTACATGGAAGGGCTTTGGGGGGAGGCAGCAAACATGTGACCAGCTCCCCTTTTCCCTGGTGGCTATCCCACCCCTACCTGCAAAGTGATGTCCAGGTGTGACCTCACACACAGCCTCAATATTCTCTGAACGCCCCAGTTTGAGGGCTCAGGCCCTTCCCTGAGCACGAGAAACAGCGGGCCTTCAGGGTGCTGTTACACGGCTCGCTCACAGAGGGGGCCTGAGAGCCAGATTTGCGGGAACCTGGCTTCCACCAGCAGAGGAACAGCAGAAAGGCTGGGTCTCTGTCCACAGAGGGTGGGAACTCACGTGGACACAGATGTCTGAAACCTCGGTGGATTCCTCCCCGCCGGTGTCCGACCCCCAGCCTGCCGAGGCCACGAGTTCGAGCTGGATGTGCCCGGGGCCTGAACAGCATGTGTTCCCTTCGTAAGACGAGGCCTCTTGTACAAGCATGCAAGGAGCCCTGCAAACCTTCTTCTGAGAATTCAATCCCTAAAGGCCCGGATAGGGGACCAAGCAGGGGCTGGAGGGAGGGAGGGGCTTTCCTATTCTCGACTGGAAGTCTGCAGGTTAGAGGAGAGAGAGGAAGGTACGCTAGCAGCAGCTCTTACAGCAAATCTCTCTCTTCCTCCATCTGGGGTGGGGAAGATTCAGGCTCTTTCTCACCTCACCCTACACACACAAACAGAGGAAGGGAACTCTGTTTTTTGCTTCTTATCAGAGTTTTGCTGGCCCAGGAGGAGGCTGAGCTGGGAGGAGCCTGCCACTTTGACTGGGAAAGTCACTTGCAGACACCATGACCTCATTCTTGCCACCAGCCGCCATAATTAGAAGGTTGCAAATGGTACGGTTACTGGTGGATGCCACATCAGGAGGGTCTGCGGGGCTCTCCCAGGCTCTACTCTGCCTGCCTGTTGCAACCCTGCCCCTTCCTAGCGGAATCTACGCAGGCAGCTTTTCTGGAACACTCTGGGGACGGGATCAGGTCTTCCTCATTTATATCCTCTCTCCTTCCATCCCCAGGGCCAGCACCTTGTAGAAGACTCTACTCCCTGTGCATTTGACTCTGTGAATTCCGGGGGAGGGGGCAGAGGCAGAGAGCAACAGCCATTCATTCCCAATGGACGGATGTGCCTTGCGCCCCCTTCTGCCTTCCCAAGTGCGTGTGAGTTGGAAACATTGCCCTTCTAGAAAAATACTCAGTGAACCCCAGATAGGACCACTTTCTCAGCCTCTCATCACGCACATAGTCAATGACAGGGCCTGACTGCAGAATCTTGTCAGGGAGGCTTTGGTGTGGGAGGTGCGTTATACCGAGTCCCAGCCAAGGAGCTCCAAGACAGAAGCCAGGACAGCCAGGAAGCCAGCACTGCCCAATATCACGGAAGGCCGAGACCCTCCTTACCCCACCATGCTTCGTGCACAGACACCAAAGGCCTGGCAGGGACAGAGTCAGCTTTGCGATATGGTTATTGTGTATTTGTTTTCCTCTGTTTTCAATCTCAAATGTAACAGCAGCTGGAACAGAGTGTTCAACAGCAGGGACAGGCTGCATCTTCCACCAGCACCGGATCTGTGTCACGGTCCTGCAGGGACCAGGCGGGCAGCA